TTTCTCTAAAAATCGAAACATGTCCGGTCATTCCGCCACCTCTGTCTTCTCGATTCCCTCGATTTTCCGGCGACCAGGAAACCCAATTCCGGTCATTCCGCCACCTTTGTCTTCTCGATTCCCTCGATCTCCAGTCAATTCCCTCGATTTCTCTCTGGTTTCGAAAGGAAAATCAACCCTTTAGCTGGTGCATGTCTTCTCCGTCACTGAGTTGCTGTCGTCTCCGTCGCTGTGTTGGTGTCGTCTCCGGAGATCTGCAAAATCGAAGAAGAAACTCACGACAGGTAGGCAACTCAGATCTGTAGTAATGAACTGTAGATATAATCTTCGATTTCTCAATGTCTTAATTCGATTTCTCTAATTACTTTCCATTTACTCTCATTGTAGCTCTAGAGAAATCTTCGAGGACCTAACACGAATATAAGCTTCAGGTTATGGCTCTTTTATTTGTTTGAAATCTGGTTTTGATTTTTGTTTATTTCTGCAATTGAAATCGAGATATACATTCAGAAGACAATCTTTAGGTTAGGGTTCTTAGCTTCTGTTATTAGTTTGCAGGTTGGATCTTTTGACGACTAAAACTCACAAAACCAATCTTCAGAAGCTTAAAGCAGTTTGTCTTGTTTACAGGTTCCATTGTTTCTGACTTTTAAATTCTTGTTTGGTTTAATACTTGACTGTTTAATCTTGTTAATGTGAATGTCAATGTGTCTGTTTGGTGTTTGAGTTAGTCTTATGGGTTTGTTATGTTTTGCTTATGGTACAGTCTGTTTGGTGTTTGATCAGTTTATCTTTTCTTATGTTTTGCTTATGGGTAAGAACATATAATGGTATTGTTTGTAGGTTCCAATGTTTTTGACTTTGAAATTCTTGTTTGGTTTAATACTTGTCTCTTTAATCTTGTTAATGTGAATGTCAATGAAAACGATTTGGTGTTTGAGTTATTATTATAGGTTTGTTATGTTTTGCTTATGGTGTCTGTTTGGTCTTTGAGTTATTCTTATGAGTTTTTATGTTTTGCTTATGGGTAAGAACATATATTGGTCGAAAAGTCATGGGTTCATCTGAACAGGTATGTAAAAACAATATATATATATACTTAAGGGTTTAATGGGAGATTAAGAGAGTTAAGGTTTCTTATTGTTTTTTGGTCTCATCTTAATTTACTTAAGAGCTGAACCGGATTATGAGAGAGGTGCTTGGGATTTTGTGAGGTCTGTGGCTGCAGCTTTAGGAGAAATGGAGATGATTATTTGCCCCTGCATTGACTGTCGCAACGTAGATCGTCACTCAGCCGGTATTGTCGTTGATCATCTTGTAACAAGAGGAATGGATTTGAGTTACAAGATGAGAGAGGATTGGTATCATCATGGAGAAGTGCAATCAGGGACTGAGAGTAGAAGCAATGCAAGTCAGTGGAACCAAGAGATTTTGGGGTTATACCAAGCTGCTGAGTTTAGAGATGAAGAGTTGGTTAGGCAGGCAGATTTATGTGAGGGTGCTGAGGCTGAGGATAAGCTAGAAGATGAGTTTCTTGCAAAGCTAGCCGATGCAGAAACGCCCCTATTCCCAAGTTGTGCAAACCACAGCAAGCTATCGGCGATAGGTGAACTCTTTAGGATAAAGACAGAGAGTGGTTGGTCTGACAGAAGTTTTGATCTTCTGCTTCAGACTTTACCACGGATGCTACCCAAGGACAATGTAATGCACACCTCGTTGTACGAGGTGAAGAGGTTTCTTAGATCTTTTGATATGGGTTACGAGAAGATACACGCTTGTGTGAACGACTGTTGTTTATTCAGGAAGCAGTTTGAGAAGCTCAACAATTATCCGAAATGCGACGCTTCACGTTGGAAGATTAACACCCGCACTGGCGAGGTGAAGAAAGGTATTCCACAGAAAGTACTTAGGTATTTTCCGATAATTCCACGTCTCAAGAGGATGTTCAGGTCTGAAGACATGGCGAAAGACTTAAGGTGGCATTTTAGTAATAAGAGCACTGACGGGAAAATTCGTCATCCGGTGGATTCTGTGACGTGGGATCAAATGAATGACAAGTACCCATCATTTGCCTCTGAAGAAAGGAACATTAGGCTTGGACTCTCGACAGATGGGTTTAATCCGTTTAACATGAAGAATGTTAACTATAGTGCTTGGTCTGTTTTGTTAGTCAATTACAACATGTCACCTGACAAGTGTATGAAAGAGGAGAACATCATGTTGTCATTACTGATTCCTGGTCCAACACAACCTGGAAACAATATAGATGTGTACCTAGAACCCCTTATAGAGGATCTAAATCATCTGTGGGAGAAGGGAGAGTCAACGTATGACGCATTCAGTCACACTACTTTCACGTTAAGGGCGATGCTTCTCTGGACCATACAAGATTTTCCGGCATATGGAAATCTTGCGGGCTGTAAAGTCAAGGGAAAAATGGCATGTCCTGTGTGTGGAAAACACACAGACAGTATGTGGCTGACTAATTGCAGAAAGCACGTATATATGTGCCATCGGAAGGGTTTGCCACCAACACATGTTTATCGAAGAAAGAAAGTATGGTTCGATGGTAAAGCTGAGCATGGGAGAAGAGGTCGGATTCTGAGTGGTCATAACATATACCAACTACTGAAAAATTACAAGAATGATTTTGGGAATGTGAGAGTAACTGGAAGGAAGAGGAATATGAAAGAAAGTGTTGGTTCAGGCTCAGATTCTAATGATGAAACCAGTGAATCAGAGGAAGAGGATAAACCAGTAGATGAGGATGAGTTATCTAGATGGAAGAAACGGTCAATCCTTTTCAAATTGCCTTATTGGAAGGTATGTTCCTAATGTTTTTTTGTTTTTTTTTTCTATATATCATTTCTGAATTGATCTATTTGAACTGTCTTTAACATATAGTATTCTTTTCTGTCTTTTTGTTTGGGCCTAGGAACTGCCGGTTAGACATAATTTAGACGTTATGCACGTGGAGAGAAATGTCATTGCTAGCATTGTCTCAACACTATTGCATTGCGGTAAATCAAAGGATGGGCTTAATGCTAGAAAAGATCTGCAACTGCTTGGTATTAGGAAGGATTTACATCCCCAACCCCGTGGAAAAAGAATGTACCTGCCTGCAGCTCCTTGGTCTTTATCCAAGAAAGAGAAGAAACTATTTTGTAAGCGCCTTTTTGATTTCAGAGGTCCGGATGGATATTGCTCAAATATCTCCAGGTGCGTGAAAATAGAAGATTCTACGGTCAAAGGACTTAAATCTCATGACTATCATGTGTTGATGCAACAGTTACTTCCGGTTGCGATTAGAGGTACAAATTGATAACTTCTAACTTTATTTCTTATACAATTACCTTTTCTGGCTTTTAATCTTCAATGCTATTTATTTTCAGGTTTGTTACCTAAAGGTGTTAGGATAGCTATTGGACGCTTATCCGCATTTTTCAACCACCTATGTCAGCGAGTTATCGACAGAGAGACAATTTCAGTAATGGAAACTGAAATTGTTGAAACTCTCTGCATGTTTGAGAGGTTCTTTCCTCCAAGTTTCTTCGATATAATGGTGCATTTGACGGTACATCTAGGCAGGGAAGCTCGGTTATGTGGACCAGTCCATTTTCGTTGGATGTACCCATTTGAGAGGTACAAATTGATAACTTCTAACTTTATTTCTTATACAATTAGCTTTTCTGGCTTTAATCTTCAATGTGCTTTATCTGCAGGTACATGAAAGTTCTTAAGGACTTTGTAAGAAACACTACAAGACCTGAGGAATGCATGAGGTTCTGCCGTGAGTTCTTGAAAAATACAACTAGTGTTGAGGAAAAATCTGACAGAAATGATGAGTATGAGAGCAGCTCTATACTGGAGGGTCGTCCGATATCCGCAGCCACATCATGTACTCTTACTGAGAAAGAGAAGAACATAGCCCACCTTGCTGTGATTCATAATATGGCTCTAGTGGATCCTTATGTGGAGTAAGTACTCTTAACAGTCTCTTCTCAATTTTTGTTATATCTACCAGTTATTTCTATTAGATACATCAGCCTGTTAATATTGGGTTTTTATTTCGATTTAAGCATGCACCTTCAACAACTACAAGATTATAATGAAAGATGTAGACGTGATGCGACAATATTATGGAGTACGCATACTCAGAAATTTGCGTCTTGGTTAAAAGAACAGGCAAGTTCATACTTGAGTCACCCTTATTTATTTTTTGGTGTAGCTATACTTGTCTTCAATATACACTGACACTTTAAAATTTTTTGAAATAGATACCTCTCAGTTCAGAACAACATGAAGATACGCTTAAATGGTTGGCTTACGGTCCTCGTAATTGCACAAGGTCTTACACGGGTTACATTGTCAACGGGCAACGGTTTCACACTACTTCAGTTGATAGACAAACTCAGAACAGTGGGGTCTTATATGAGGCCACAGCAATGTGTAGAGCCAGTGCGAAAGACACTTCTCAGATGGTTGACTTTGTATCCTACTATGGCAGAGTGGTAGAGATTATACTTCTTGATTACAACATTTTCTACATTCCTCTATTCCGGTGTCAATGGGCAAACATAGGTAATGGAGTCAAGAAAGAAGATGGCTTCACACTAGTCAACCTTAACCAAAGTCAAGTTTCATTTGCAAGAGATCCCTACATATTAGCTTCTCAAGCAAAGCAAGTGTTCTATTCAAGGGTAGATGAGTCATCTAGTTGGTATGTAGCTATGAGAGGTCCTACAAGAAGATACAGTGAAGAAGAATCTGAAGATGGAAATTCAGATGTGGGGCCATTGCCAGCAGTAGTGGACATGGAAGCTGATGACTTGGTTGATGAAGCTAGAAATGCCCGTCATGATTGTGAAGGAATTTATGTTTGAAAGAATAGTGTTTTGTTTTTTTTTGTGGATCTATGATGGCCTGGAATTCGTTTTTAATTAAATTGGATCATTATTGCTTTTGATTTGAGTGTTATACATCTTAGTTTCTTTGTGTGTGTCTGTTTTTTCACTGGTGTTTCATCTATGAACTGTATTCTAACATTTCTCTCTTTTGTTTCAGGTGAACTAAGATGGGCAATCGTAAAAACAAGCGTGTAACCAAAAAGACAAGGGACTTGGAAGAGGTGTTAGAAGAGAACATTGCTCAAGGACATGCGGCAGATATAGAGACTGAAGAAGCTGGTCATGATTTACTGAATGGAGCTGGTAATGATGTAGTTAATGAAGCTGGTAATGATGTAGGTACTGGAGCTGCAGGTAGCCTGAATGAAGAAGATGAGTTAGAAGAGAACTCTGAAGAACAGGCGGCAGATGAGGAGAATGAAGAATTTGGTAATGATGTAGTTAATGGAGATGATGAGCAAACACAGAATGTGCCTGAAGAACAGGCGGCAGATGATGATATAGTTGCTGAACCAAAGCGTAAAAAGCAACGAGGACCAACGAAGATGAAACACATCGCCAAGGATCCAAATGAAAAGCAACATGTTGACTTCACTGATATGGGAGAACATTGTGGCCCAGGGTCAGTGCTGTTATCATCATACTTGGGTCCGTTAGTACGGGAACATGTTCCTGTCATAATCGACACTTGGAAAAAAGTTGGTGAAGATATCAAAACTGTTCTGTGGAAATCTATTGAGGTAAGCTATAATTAAATTATCCACATTTTAAGTTTAACTTGCCTCACATTAGTAATTGTTTTTTCTTTTCCTGGTGCATTTGAATGAAGGCAAGGTTTGACATTGACGAAGACTATAAGAAGAATGCTGTGTTTAAGCAGATGGGATGTCTCTGGAGAGCCTCCAAATCACGTCCGGTGAGCAAGGTTAGGAAAGATAGAACCATGAAAGATAGGATGAGTCTGCGACCGAATAATGTACCTCCAACAGCATGGCGTCTCTTTGTCAAAGCCAAGACTAGTAACGCCTTCAAGGTATTCACTTAGTTGTCTTTGTTTATTGGCCTGTAGAATACTCACTTTTTTTTTCATTCTAATTCAGGTTGTAAGTGATTCATTTAAGGCAAGAAGGAAGAAGCAGATACCTCACACTTGTGGGCGTAAAGGAATGGTCAGATTGAGAGAAGAATTGGTAAAGAGTAGCTCAGAACCATCTAAGATCACAAGGCTAAAAGTTTGGGTCAAGTCGCGTACTAGGAAGGATGGTACGCCTGTAAATATTACTGCTGCTGAAAAGATTGTAAGTATTGACTTTACCTATCAGTATGATTTTAGAAATTGGATATCCTGCTTGGTCCACCTTATGATCTGTAATTGTGTTTGCAGCAAAAGGCAAAAGAGATAGACACTGAAAGTCTTAATGATTCAACGACAACGAATCCAAAGGAAGATATGCTTACACAGATTTTGGGACCTGATAATCCTGGAAGATTGAGAGCAATGGGTAGAGGTATGAGCTTGACAAAATTGGCTTGTTTCCAAGTCAAGAGCAAATGTATGGCTGCAATGGAAGAAAAGCAGATTCGTTTGCAGAAAAAGGTTCATGAGTTAGAGCAGATCTTATTACAGAGACAAGGGTCTGACATCGGTGAAAACTCGATTCATAGAGTATGTACCAACTATTAATATATTGCCTTTGTTTATATTTATGAGTTGATTTCTCATTGTTTGTTTTTCATGTAGAGTGTAAACACCAAATCACTTCCCAAGTGTTATTTGGTTGACTGGTCCTGTCCTGATGAGAATGTCGCTGAGGGACGTGTTGTTTCTTATGATGAGGATGAGTTGGTGAATGGAATTCCTTTAGGGCCTAACTCTGTCAAGGTTTTAGTTGAATTAGTTGCTAAACCAGAAGCATTTCTCTGGAGACCTGCACCTGACATGTTTACTCTTGAGGATGCACTTGGCGAAATGGTTGCATGGGATGCTGATTACTGTATTGTTCCAACTGATGGTAGTATACCAGAAGACATAGCACCTAAGGTTAAGTTTCTTAACTTTTGTTATTTGTAGATGCTCTTTATCTATATCTGAGTCTTTGATAATTATTTTTTCTTTTCATTGTTTGGTACATTTGAATTTCGCAGAGCCCTGGCACAAGTATAAGGAACAAATGCAAACTCATGGATTATAGTACGAATGATCAAGTGATCGCTGAAGGTCGATTTCAGACTCGAGAACCTAAAGCGTTGGTAAATGGACTTCCTCTTGGTCCAAATGCAATGAAGGTATATGTGGATGTGGTAGTAAACCCTAAGGCATATCTATGGAGGCCTACAGTTAACATGAGAAATGTGGAGGATTCTTTGAACTGTTTTGTAGCATGGCCTGCAAATAGAGTTGTGATGGAGACAACTCCAGAATCTCCTCCTCTTCAACCATCTACATCTAAAGCATCAAGTACAGGTTATCAGAATGAGAAGTCTCCAGTAACTCCAAAAGCTCCTGTAAAGAAACCAGCAACAACTTTGAAAGCGGCGTGCGCATCTCCTTGTCGTAAATTGCAGGTACTTTCTTTTAAATTTACTGTGTTACATGATTGATGGTTGGGCTGTTGACTTTGATAAACATGATTGATTGTGGTTTGTTGTTTTAATTGTTTGTCTGGTTGTTTGTTGGTTGTCTTTGTAGCCTGTTGCATTCAAGGAAAATCAAAAATGTAAGTTGATAGATCTGATCAGAAAGAACCACGTCGTTGCTGAAGGACGTTGGTCATCGAATAATCCTGCCAGTGTTGTCCACTTTGTACCTTTGGGCCCTAAAGCATGTCGAGTGTGGGTGGATGTTGTCAAGGATAAAGATGCTGCAGTTTGGAGACGATCTTCTGAGATCGAGTGTATGGAAGATGCATTTGGAACCTCTATTGCATGGCCAGAAGATATAGTGGAACCATTAATGGTGAGATTTGTAATCATAATTTGCTGTGATTCATTTTACCTATGTCATACTAATCTAAGATATTTTTGTTTTCAGGAGTGAACTCAATTGCTTAATCTGAACTGATGATGGAATGAAATATGTTTTCTGCTTTTAATTAAGTTTAGCTATGTTTGAGAACTTGATAAAGACTTTCTGTTTTGTTTATGAACTGGTTTGATGTATGTTTACATGTTCTCTTTTAGAGTTCATGATGTATGTGTACACTTTGTATGCTTTGGATCTTAAATGAAAAAGCATTGCTGTTTTATGATTTTTTGTTTCACAATAGGTTTTTATAAATCCCAGAATTGATCGAATAGGTGCACAATTTTGGCAGCCAAATAACTGTATTCAACAACATTGTAATCGTGTCATAATAAAATATTCTATGGCACTAATAAAAAGCCATGACATATTATAGAGTGGCACGAAACAAGTGCTAGAATAACTTATACAATAGCAAATGATACTTGCTATAATAGGTTCATTTTCCATAGCATTCAAAAAAATGCTATCATATGGGGTGAGGCTATTATAGCTCCTTCTGTCATAGCGTTCATGAAAACGCTACAAAATCGATATAGTAGCGTTTTTAGTGTACTATCAATGACCGAATTTCTTGTAGTGACAATACTAACCAAAGATATAACCAACTTATTTACACATGATACTATCGACAAAAAAAGAGAGTCAAAGAGCAATAAGGCAGCGCAGCAGCTTAGAGAGACAGAAAGAGATTTAACCTTCAAACCAGCGGCGCCACCACCGTAAGAGTCATACTGAAGAGCGTGCATGACTTTTCCGGCCATTAAAATTGTTTGAGTAAAGTTTTTAGAGGTTATGGAGAAAGTGTTTAAGTATTTGAGAGAGAGTGTTAGGAAATAGAACTTTTATACTTTGATTTTAATTTGAAAACAACTTCATAACATTACAATAAATGAGAGAGGGAGGAGATATTTATAGTCTCCAAACTATAAAATATCTAAAATATTTTAATCCTAAATCTAGAGAATTCTTACATAATATCTCAATTATAATATTCTAATTATCTAAATTATTCTATAAGAATATCTAGATTATTATCTTTAAGGAGGTGGAAGATGATATTGTAGAAAATTTCTAGAACTTTTAAAGAGGTGGATATGTTGATATTTTTTTCATGTTTTAAGGTAACTGGAATAATCATTGTAACTTTATTGGTAATGGCTTGGCTTGTACGTAAGTAAAAAACATACTAGATAGCTGAGAATCGCAACAACTTTGTCACCAGCTTTTAAATTCTTGACTCCTGATCCAACCTCAACGACCTCACCAGCAACATCAGTAGCTGTTCAAGACATATATATATATATATATATATATATATGTATATATAAATCAATTAAAAAGCCTATAAGTCTATGAAGTAAGAACAACAAAACATATAAGAGAAATCTCGAAAGCTATAGTATTAGAATACCAGGAATGAAGGGGAACTTGCGGGGCAGAAAAGGCCGAATCATTCCTTTTTGAATTTTCCAATTAATTAATAGGGTTTATACTAATAGCTTCTAATTTTAGTAAGACTCGTTGCGCTTTGGTGATGGAACTGGGACTTGGACATGCTGAGAACAGATCAGATACATACTTACTAATCATCAAAAAAGAAACACGAGATCATGTTACCTTTAAATCAGAAAACAAATGAACACATGAGAAAAATAATTTCACATATTAATCTTAATAACTTCGACTACCAAAAACAATAGACTATATAATATATAAACAATACTAACCACATATATAACCGACTTATTTACACATGATACTAATATACTATCGACAAAAAAGAGAGTCAAATAGCAATAAGACAAAAAGAAATTTAACCTTCAAACCAGCGGTGCCACCACCGTAAGAGTCATACTGAAGAACATGCATGAGATTTCCGGCCATTAAAATCTCAAAGCTATTCTCCTTTCGATTCTATATATTTCTCTCTTATTGTCTTACTTAATCTCAAACATACATATAAAATTTTATACATATGATTGAATATCAGAGATCAGACTTATCGTGGGATGCGATCATACCAGCACTAATGCACCGGATCCCATTAGAACTCCGCAGTTAAGCGTGCTTGGGCGAGAGTAGTACTAGGATGGGTGACCTCCCGGGAAGTCCTCGTGTTGCATCCCTCTTAAAAGAAGAAAAAAAAAAATCAGACTTATCGTGGTCTCATGTCATCATGGATAAAAATAATAATTATTAGGGTTGAATGATAGTGACAATATTTTGACCCAAAAAAAAATGATAGTGACAATATAACTAGTAATGAGAAAATAAATTTATGAAATTCACTAGTTGACTAAAACATAGACGAAGCTATCTTTGGTGTTTTAGGAAATTTTTTAATTATTTGATTAATTTGTTGGTGATTAAAGGAATATTAAACAAAATAGCCTTTCGAAAACATAACGATTCATTCAATCTGAATTAAACCAAACTCACATTTTGGAAATTGAATGATATCTTAATAGTTATTAATTGGATTGTATACCAAAAAATAAAAACGAATCCGAAATTAACAAACCAACAACAAAATTGTGGATTGCATGGACTGTCAGTTTCTTTTTGAATATGACTACTTTGCTTTTCCGAATCGGTTACCCCTTGGATTGGAGGTTTGAAACATGTATTCTTCTAATGGAGTTTTCTACTGTTTCACCGACATAGGTTGCTTACGGATGTTCTACCTCTCTATGAATTCATGGAATCTTCTTCCTCGACGGTCTTCTAAACGCCTTGAAACTATTCAATGTATGAGTATGACAGAGTACCAAGGAGATATCGTGTATTATCAGAGCCAAGCCTTTTGATAAAATAAAGGCTACAAGCCCAAAGCAGATATATGGGCCATTAATAATGTGTTTAGAAAATAAAATAAAAATGATTTTGTTAGAAAAAAAATTCAAACCTCTTCCCTCTTTTCTTAGTTTACAAGCCAAAATCATTACACTAAAGAGATTTTTAGATAATTTTACAGTATAAAAATAGATAATATTTACGAAGACCGCAAACTCATGTTTGGCCCGCTTGGTCGCATGATTTAATCGTAGATTTTAAAAACCAGAAATAGATGAAGTGTCGTTAGTTCAACTGGTAAAGATCCTAGCCGAAGTTTAGAGGTCGCCGGTTTGAGTGACGTTTGAGATGAAACTAATATTATATGTTGTGGTTTTGGACCTGGGGAGATTATAGACTTTGGCCAGAACTTCCTGGTAAAAAAAAAAAAAAAAAAAAAAAAAAATGGACGAAGAAAACAGATAGGTTTGCTAGGGTTTACGTTTTACTTAGGCTTCCACGAAAAAAGATAGGTGTACTCCAAAGGTGATTTGATGTAGTGAGTTTAATGTCTGGATAATGCCACGCATAAACTTCTCAAGTCTCAACTTTGTTCAGAACTTCAGATACAATATTAGGAAGTTCATCGTTCTTACTTTTTTTTTGTTCAATCAAACTGGATCAGTATTATCTATAAAATTAATTAAAACGGCAAAGGTATTTTCGGTTCGGTGTTCCGATATCTTGCTTGATTTTATAAAAAGAAGAGAAGAAATATCAAAAACATGTACCAATAATACGAGAAATATCACACCAGCATAAATTAGAGTAAAATTATTTAATTGAATACAAAATGTATTTAATGTTTAATTTGACAAAATGTATCTTTAAATTATTTTTCACCTGACAATTTACAACTCTACAGAATATCCAAATCTGATCAAAAATAATTTCCAATTAAATTTTTTTTTTACATGAGTGTTTATCAGTTTGTTTGCTAAACGGCTATAAGTAGCATGTTCTTTTGTTTGTTTCTTTCATATATACATCACTTAAAATAAAATATACTACATAGTATATTTTTGTTAAAATCATCACCTTTTTTTTTTTTGAAAAAATTAAAACCATCGCTACAAGCTTTTTTGTTACAACCATCACCAATATGAAACAGAGAGAACAGGTATTTCTATTTGAAAATGTGACTAAATCCGAGTGTTTTACTTTTAGTATTGTGTGGCTGTTAAAATCCACACTCGAAATTTCTATTTAATTTTTATGATAAAAGAGGGCTAGATCTTCAATGATGCTATGAGTATTCAATTGCTAAAAACGAAAGGATTTTATTGATATGAATCAAGTGAAAATACAATGAAGTATGAAAATACAAGTATTTGTGAGTATTAAGGTTTAGTAGCAAGTAGGCGATGTCCCTTCTCTGATCAGCCTCTCCTCCTTTTATACGTCTTCAAGTTAGGTTAGCAGCCTCCGAGATCCTCGCCCGTATCTCCTAGAAATCAGGTGCGTTCCGGGATTCCCTCTAAATTGGTTCCTCATCTGTTGGTAGTTACGCATCTCTACTTCGTGGGCTGACGGGCTTGGTATAAATCTGAGGGTCCAATTAGTGTTTATGCAGGTGGAATCGGAGGTGTGAATTCCAGCTCCAACAGCATTGTCTCCCTTGTCTTGCTAATTTATTAATTATTTTTATTTGCATTGTTGAATTAATCCTGCTTTTATTTTTTTGGTAAACGAATTAATCTTGTTTTTTTTTTTCGCCTAACGAATTAATCTTGTTTTAAAATAAAGTTATAGATATGATATTGACTTTTCCGGCTATTTATATACTTTTCAATAATATTAGTAACGTCTAGTTGTAGAACACCAATAAGCATTTCAGTTTCGTAAGGAAGAAAGAAAATCAAACGAAAAAGAATAAACGTCGAAGTTATCAAATAAGAATAAAGAAGAATAAATGTTGATGAATAGAATTCGACTTTGTGCATGTATCAAACATACAAGCAAAACATATATATATTAAAAACAAGCAAAACATATATACAAAAATATCAAACATACAAGCAAAACAATATAAAATTTTAGCATTACTAGATATCTGAATTTTGCCAAAACGTCCAATTAATCTTGTTATAATTAAAGAATTTTTCGCTACTCCACCATAAATAAAAGACTGAACCATGCACGAAATTTCATCGCAGTAAAATCAGACCTGGAACTATGAAAAATTGCTAATACTATTTTACCAAGATATAAAGACATATTTGTTTATCTTTTCAGTTCTATTTTTTTTAGAAACTAGAGATTCTAAACCGAAACCCATAATTTTCAAAACCAAAAATAAAAACGAATTTTAATCTCCTTACAAAAAAATATTGAACCATACAGTTTGTTCTCTTGTTTAGGACCACTAATCCCCACTTCCTTCTTGGTACCTTATATTTTATTGCCACTAATATTTACTCCCTCCGTTTCACATAGAGTGTCGTTTTAAGGTTTTAATCTCGTTTCACAAAGAGTGTCGTTTTGTGTTTTCGGCAGTTTTAAAGACTAATTCTCTTTTTTTAACCTCACTATTTTAGCTTATTAATTAGAGAGAGAGTATTATTTAGTGTATTAATAAGGAAAAAAATGAAATTTGTTTACTTTTCTTAATTTGTGTGAAAATGTTAGAATGACACTCTTTATAAAACAGAAAGAGTATTTAGTAGTGTTTACATTGTTAGGGAGAGAATCTTGCTAAATTGAGCTAGTAAAGTCAAAGATTCACAAGTTCAGGTCTGAATGTTGCATCCAATTCACCATCCACCGACTAAGACAAATCTTGATCACAATTCAATTTTTATTTCTTTCTATTAAATAATCATATCCATTTAATAATTACGATCTATTGGTCACAGGTCACGTCCTTGGTGTCTCTGACTCGACTTTCTTAATAGATTTATTATTTTAATTTTTGGGACAACTTTTAATAGATTTATTGGTTATGATTGGTGTGCTGCATAGAAGAAAAATATATCAAGTGGTCCTACCATATTGGAAGAAAATTTTTTTTTGTTATCAAATGAATTTTTATTTTATGAATAGAAACTTTTCTTCTACGTATTAGTAGAAAGAAGAATTCTTCTCACTTCTTTTCCTCTTCTCTCTCACCAGTCACACCCATTATCTTTCACTTTCCAAAACAAATATGTTGTCAGAAAATCACGGCAAAATTCTTCTCTTACACTCTACTCTAAAATCTAAATTAGAGTTTAATTTCATCTTTGACTCCATTTCGTTGTTAAATCCTTATATTATATGCAATGACATCCATATATAATTCTCATGTTTAGTAACTCTTTTTTTTGGGGGTAAAATGTTTATTAACTCTTGGGATTTACTATGTATTAATCCGGATCTTATTTAGTCGCATTAACGTCATAACGGTTTCTTTGATATATCGAATGCGGAATTTACGACCAATAAGACAAGAACTATATATGGATTATTATTATGATCTCCTATTAATGATACCATAAATTCCAAGATTAGAAACCCACGTAGTATTGACGTCAAGTCAACAGCAAAAAGCCACGTGATATTTGTTATGCAAATAGCAATATGAAGATAATAAGCTATATAACTTGAAAGTTTGGTTATCAAAAGCTATAGTTTATTTCTTTAAAATGAGATCCCTCACATCATTATCTATATATCTTTAATATCGCCTTTGAGACAGATTGCAAGGAGCTGACTCAGCTATTGGACACTCCGGATGAGTGGCCCGCTTTTGTTTCGGAGTTAGAAGATTTCAATGCCTTAAAACTTGGTTTCCCTCATTTTTCCTTAGATTTTATTCCATGTTTAAACAATGTCCGTGCTGATTGTCTCGCTAAGAAAGCAAGGGCACTTGATTCTATTTTTTCCCATGTAAGCTCTTCAACTCCGGACTGGTTTTCTTCCGTAGAAAACCGCCCGTTTCTAGCTTAAATGGATGAATTTATTTTGCTGTCAAAAAAAAAAAATGATAACCAGCCTTAAACCTCCTTTTTTTTTACAAGAAAGACCCAATTTTATTTTGGATGGTTTAATCTTGATTTTAATTATATTATTTATGTAAAACTTAAATTAAATTTGAAGAAACTGATTTATTACTAAAAATTATATTAACTATATTCCTAAATTATAACTAAAATATTATCTAAGAAAATAATTTTCTGCTAGTCTAATAATCTAGTTTCTTATAAAATAATTAAAACTAAAGACTTTCAATTTTAAAACTTTCTGTAACTCTGATAAAACAAATTTGTGTTTAAATAGAATCGAAATTTGAATAAATAATATTTGTTTGTTTGTTTGTATGTACGTAGATTTTTGTTTCAGTCTATTAAACATGTAAATCCATATAGATGATAACAAATAAATGAAAAGCTGAAATGACTTATCCATCATTATTTTGTTTGAAAATTCAATAACTCCAGTCAGACCAAAATTTAGGCAATTTTCAGTTTTTGAAAAGATTCTCTCCTAATTCTTGATTATTATTTTCCGGATTCTATCCCAATTTTAAGAAAAATTAACTCCTACTAATACTATGATGTTATCCCAATCAGACATATCGTAACATATATTGACATCTATTACCACATATGTACACACACACATAAAGTCTTGTGTGTATAAATACATGCACCAATAACACACACACACACAAACCCCAACACACAAAAACGCTTGTGAACAAAAAAAGAGAAACCAAAAAACCGGACAAAAGAAAGAAAACAAAACGTTCTTAAAGTTTAAATGGCAAATCGTTTCCTCCGACCAAACCTCATCCACCGTTTCTCCACCGTGAGTCCCGTCGGTCCTCCGACCACCGTCATCCCGGAGATTCTTTCCTTTGACCAACCAAAACAAGACGTTGACCTAGATCTTTCCGACCAAGCTCGACTCTTTGCTTCTGTCCCAATCTCCACCCTCCTCCGCTCAACCGCAGTTCTTCATGCTACGTCCATAGGCCCTATGGTAGATCTTGGCTCATGGCTCATGAGTTCCAAGCTCATGGACACGACCGTTACACGCGATCTAATACTCCGTGTCGTAAAAGGAACGTTTTATGACCATTTCTGCGCCGGCGAAGATGCGGCTGCCGCTGCAAGGCGCGTGAGTAGCATGTATGAGTCGACAGGACTTAAAGGTATGTTGGTGTATGGCGTAGAACATGCCGAAGACAGTGGCGCGTGTGATGAAAACATTCAGAAATTCATTGAAACCGTCGAAGCTGCTAAAACCCTACCTACGTCTCACGTAAGACATTCTCAGAAGTTCATCTTTTAGACTTTTTCTATGCATTTCTCTGTTTTTCCAAAACAAAACTATTCATATATTTTCATCAATATATGTTTTTATTACTGTTTTGGTTTAAAATTACTTTAATTAGTCGATATAGGCATATATAGCCATTATTTTAATAGTGATCATAAATTTTTTGTGGGGTAACATATATATGATAATCAATTTGTGCAAGTCGGATCTACGTATACAAACAAACCACCATAGATATTTATAGGTGTAGAGGCAAATTGTGAGAAATGAGGTCAATTGACCCCAATGGTTATTTGCTATGTTGACATTGATTTTTTGTTCCATTTGACATAAAACTACCTCCACCAGTTCGTTTCTTCTATATGTTTGTAGATATTTTTTTCTTTAAAAATTCGATCCCACTAGATTTTTCTTCTAGATCTGTCACTCCAAAAACGTGGAGTAACCGACCAATGAAAACCATTTATACGAATAAATATATAAAAACTAAATTAGAAAAGAGACTAACACGTGTTTAATAAACCTTAAAAAAATAACAAAGAACACCAACTTGTCTGATTTTTATTTCGATAACGACTTTTTTTTGCTTTGTTTTATAACGTCTTGTCTGAATTTTAGTTTTGTAAATTAGTAGTATGAAATAATAATCAAAGCCACGTCGATTCCTCGTCAGAGTTAAAAGTTAACACGTTAATCACGCAATGAGAACATATTTGGAAATCAGAATTGTCAACTACACGACAGGAATATTCTTCCGTATACAATAATTCCGGTTTAAACCGGTTCAACTGCTAATCAAATTTTATTTGTTTTTTTGTCTGACCAGTTAAGCTCAGTGGTGATCAAAATCACAGCGATTTGTCCAATGAATCTCCTGAAACGAGTTAGTGATTTGCTCCGGTGGCAATACAAGAACCCTAATTTCAAACTTCCATGGAAACTCAATTCATTTCCGGTTTTCTCTGGTTTAAGTCCTCTCTACCACACTACTTCTGAACCGGAACCATTAACCGCAGAAGAAGAACGAGAGCTAGAAAAAGCTCACGAACGCCTCAAATCCGTCTGTAAAAGATGTCAAGAATCGAACGTACCGTTACTAATCGATGCCGAAGACACAATTCTCCAACCGGCGATTGATTACATGGCTTATTGGTCGGCGATTATGTTCAATTCTGACAAAGACCGACCTATAGTTTACAACACGATTCAAGCCTACTTGAAAGATGCAGGAGAGAGATTGCATTTGTCTTTACGAGAATCTGAGAAAATGAATGTTCCTATTGGGTTTAAATTGGTGAGAGGTGCTTATATGTCTAGTGAAGCTAGGTTAGCAGATTCCTTGGGTCACAAGTCACCGGTCCATGACACAATTCAAGATACACACAATTGCTACAATGACTGTATGAGTTTCCTTATGGAGAAAGCCTCAAATGGATCAGGCATTGCGGTCATTCTAGCGACGCATAACACCGACTCCGGTAAGACATTGAACCATACTTATTAAATTCCTACACTTGAGAATTGAAAACTGAAAATAAGAATGAACAACACTCAGATTCGATATTGTTTATTCAGTATTTATTTCTCTATCATTTGGGATGATATATTTTTTTCGGTTCGGTTTGGATTCGTCTCGCTTTTTATGTTCACTCTTAGATTTAATGATGAAATTGTCCCTACACTGTTATACTTAACTGTTTGTTCTTATTTATGATTCATGATAGGTAAACTAGGGGCAAGGAAAGCAAGTGAGCTAGGGATCGATAAAGAAAACGGGAAGATCGAGTTTGCACAGCTTTACGGAATGTCGGATGCATTATCTTTCGGATTGAAAAGGGCCGGTTTCAATGTGAGCAAGTACATGCCATACGGGCCGGTGGATACTGCGGTTCCATACCTTATCCGGCGGGCATATGAGAACCGTGGTATGATGTCTACAGGAGCTCTAGACCGCCAACTTATGAGGTAACTCACCGGTTTAACACTTTGGTTGAGTCCGTACCGGTTTGGAAAACATCGTTTTCTGCCTAGATTTTGGTCTTAACAATGTGTTGGTTTGTTTGTGTCTTTGTAGGAAGGAGCTTAAGAGAAGAGTTATGGGTTGGTGATTGGTGAAGACGGAAGATATATAAATGTGTTTCATTCATGGAATAATTATAAGGCAAATATAGATTTTAAAATTATATAAATGGAGTAGCAAAATATCTGAAGTAGGTTTTGATCACAAAAGGGTATCATCCACAAATGTATACAGTAATTCCTTAGTGATCAATGATAATGTAATTTGCATATTTCATTTTTTGCTTGAATCAATAATATATATTTTTATTTAAAATTTACTATGATTTTTTGAAAAGTGTGTTCTTCATGTTGCTATTTTTATTTTTTTTATCACAACTAAGCACCATAAGAAGGATCAAAGCAAAAATATATGAACTCTATACAAGGACCAGAACATGTTAATCATATATAATTGTTGGGAAAATTAGTAAGTTCTCATATATGTGAAGATATAATAATGTTGATGATGATCATAATTGGAAGATGATGATGATGGTGATAATAAGAAGATGATGATGATGATTGTATGATGATCATGATATGATGATGGTGATGAGAAAAACAAACAAAAATGGGTAACCCATCAAACCTATTACAATATCCCATGTTACAAACACATTAGACTCATCAACCAATTAGGATTAAAAAGGACATATTTAACCCATTAAAGTTGATGGGTTTGGGACCGATCGGCCAATGATTTTTGACTCTTGTTGCTATTACAATATCCCATGTTACAAAAATTAAATCCAAGCTATTTGAAAAAAAAAAGAGAAAGCAAATCCTAGTCAAACTTGAAAAGGAACAGAACATGATATATTTGATTGTCTTAGATGATTTAAGAACCAAAACTAAATGATGAGACTCTCTATAAAACTGGTTTGGTTTAGATTTTAGCTCTTATCTTAACTCTAGTTTCTAGTTTGGCCAAGTTCCTTTGTTCATGTGGATGTAGTATCCGAAACAATAAAGAAGAGAAAAAGATTTACTTTCTCAAACCCTACCTTCATCACTAAAACTTCTTCTCACTTCCTCCTTGACTTCTTAAGATATCAAATGCCTCTTTCAATGCCTACAATGCATTCAAAGGAAACTATGGTCATTCAATAAAATATTGTGGGAAAAGATAGACACCCATGAACACACTCTAACCTTATGGAAGAACCTGTGGTTCTGAAAACACTCGGTGACATAAACCATGTACTTATTGTGTAGCTCAATTAGTAGTTGATTAGTAGTTGCGTCGTCAGCTTGTTTGATAAGGGCATTCCCCTCTTCAGTAATATGCTGTTTTTATACACACATTTTCCAATGAAAACCAATGTGAGTTAAAAAAAAAAAAAGAAATTGATTTGGAAACAAACAAAAGTAAGTTTAAAAATAAAATAAAATAAACCTTTTTGAATAAGTCTGCAATACGTTCTAACCTATGAGGGATTGGATGATAAAGACTGTACATCCTAGAGAGATCATTCTTCTGAAAGTATATATATAGCAATGCTCCATCAAAATAGATAATTTCAAATGATAACTTGTTTACATATTATAACCACAAAAAGTTAAATTTACCTTGTCATCTCTTAGCAATGCACAGCACCCTGAATGCTCATTTTCTAGACGGTTTTTTGCAACCATTACCAACAATTGATTTTGTACTTTCTGCAATCATAAATAAACAAACAAGTTCAATAATTATCAATGTTTGTATAACCAGCTCATAATACAGTCAGAAATAACCTACCTCAACTAGTTTGGGTTCAGTGCTTGAATGGAGATAGTGAGTGACTCTCTCCCTCTCCCTCTTTAGACACTCCTCAACCTGCAATATAACATTACTAACGTTAACATATATACACTTTTTTCTGAAATCGAATGAAAACATAGTCGTAGACATGCCTTTATCATGTAATCAGGACAAGAATCCTCCTCGATCCACCTTGACGCCTTGCGAGAATAGTAAGAAGCAGTATCTTGAAGCATGAAGCTTTCAAAATCCTCTTCATATTTTTCAGTGGTTCCCATCCCATTATCCACATAGACATCTAATACGTTCTTCACTAGTGCCCTATCAATCTCTTCGCCCTCACGTTCTTTATGAATCTGGCAAAAGTTATATTGTTAGACAGAAAAAAACAAGAACTATGCTGAACTAGAGTGTTTTTTCATTACATATATCGATACTTACAAGTGCTACTACAGCTTTTGTGGCCATGGATTGCATCTCAGAATAAACCTAAAGCAAAAAATTTGCATGAATAAACAAATACATTTGCGGCATTGAAAAATTAGGAGCTATAGGAATATTCATTACAAACCAGGTCAAGGAAGCATGTCAATCCAACTTCATCTAGTGATGGAATATTAGTCCGAGGAACCAAGTAACGGTCGATATAATGGAAAATGTTGGTTAAAAATGTAACCAAAATTTTATGGTTATTCCACCTCTTAACAAGCTCTATTAGCATATGTTCATCATGCTTCTCCCTTAAAGAAGGCAACACCTTAACCACATATTAAACGAAATTATATTAATTAATTTTTCCTTTTAAGTTAAAAAAAGACAAATATGTAAAACTTTGGTACTCACCGTTTGGATAGTATAATCTTCAATTACTTGAAGATACTTCTCATAAAGCTGATGTGAGTAATCTGGTTTTTGGGTGCACATATCGTAGATTGTCCTGTGAATCACATAAGAGATTACTGTGGTAGGTGTAGAACTGTCAACAACAAACATTACTTATGAATTATGATGGCCTACGTACGTGTAAAGATTGACACCTAGCTGAGGTTTAAATGCTGGTTCCGGCTCTTCTTCTATGATCCTTATCACTTCGGTAATACCTTTCTGCAAGGAGGACCATCCTTCCTCAAATTTAAGGACCATCCTTCTAGAATCTGTTTCAGGCTCTCTTGAGTCAAACTTTGGAAAAATATTAAGATAGTTACAACAAAATTTAGGTCTTGAGAGAGGTCATTATATATCGACACTTTTGCATCCATATTAGGTATATTCAAAACTAATATTCTTATTGTTATTGTCAATCACAAACCAAAACAAATTATAACAATGACAAGATGTTACGTCTTACGTGTCCATTGAGATTACGCGAGAATGAATCAACCACATATTTGAAAACACGAGAAAGATTCCAATCTTTGAAAGTAATGAAGATTTGCGTGGAAAACAACAAAACACGGAGAAGCTGACATAAACCTAACTCGATCAAAATCATGTACATAAACCCTAAAACCCTAAGAGTCACGTACCTGAAGATTTAGATTTCACCGTAAAATTAGCTATGAGAATCGGAATGCGACTAAAAAACCTACAAGAGAAACGGAAGTCAATATATATGTTCAATATATATACTAGATTAGGACCTGCAAATTTTTTAAATAAAATTAAATTTAACAAAAGATATAATAAAATTTTGTTGTAAATAGCAACACTTAAAGTAAATATTTAAAATTTTAGTTAGGGGAAAAAGTTATTTATATATTTGTTTTTGTCTTACTACACTAATTTGTATTTCTATATTTTGAAATTATTGTAACATTTATCAGTCACCAAGACATTTATCAAATATACATCATTATCTCCTTATTAATTATTATTAAAAGGAAAGTACAAATTGAAAAATGGTCTAATTTAGCTTCAATTTCAATTTCAATTTTGGATTTTGTAAGTGTTTAGCAAAATTGATAAGGGTAAATTAGTCTAAAATTTTCATTAAAGCTTTAGGATCCGCGTGTTTATAAAACAGGTTTAAAATGAATCAAATATATCCAAATCCTTAAACGAATCACTAATCGGATTTTAACATCTTCACAAAACAGAGATGCAATCCTAACCATTCAACATATTTTGTATCTAATTTAAGGCATATTCGATCGCAATATGAAATATATTCTCCAAATCTCGATTAATTGCTGAATAAATTTCCAAAAAAATATGATCTAATCTAATCCTAACCATAAACTACTACTCAATATCCTAATTTTCCCTAAATTCGTGAATCATTAATTTTGATATCAATCAAGAAGATATTCGGGTTAATATATCCTATATTTTTTGCTTCGACTCCAAGATTTTCGAAAATTTATAAGCTAAAAATACTATCATTCTACTTGACTATAAATATCAACTCTATCATTCCTTACTATCCAGCAATTCACATCAAACGACTAATACCTCTTTTTTCCCAGCCAAAAACCACCGCGGGTTGAATCCTATCTTCAACAAATCAGGATCGTCACCTTGCAAAGTTCACATCTGATCTGCATCTCAAACCAGGATTCACCAACAGGTAACACTTTCAAATGTTTCATGGGGGCTTTCTTGACACTAATAAGACGTTTAGGGTTATTTTCATAATATTGTAATAGTTTGAAGGTTGTTTTGAAAAGTCACCTGCGGGACATGAAGGATGAGAGCGTGCGTAGTGAGACGCGATGGCGCGTGGATCCCAAACGAGCTTGCCACAACTAACGACAAGTGAATCTCGAGAGACGCAAGCCAATCTGAATTGAAGCTACAGGTGCCAAAGATGCACAACGTCAAGACACGTGCGTAGCACCGTGACCACCGCCGCGAATGCACCGTCCATGTAAAGACACGCCGGTCCGGTGGTTTGGCCGATAGCGAGCGCGTAGAAGAAGAGCAGATCCACCGCTAAAGTCATCCCTCGAGCTAGAAGCAACGTGCGGTTCCATCTCTGCACTCGCTTGTGATTATAACATTTCCTTTATACTCAAAAATCTGGTTCAGACTGGATTGGAGACAGATCCTTCCTGAATCGGAACTAAGGAAGAACCGGCGGTGGATTTTCTTTTACTTTCTTTACTTTGTCTTTATAATGTAATCTTATTAGTTTATAATATACAAAGAATTCTTTCCAACTTACTGTTGTGAAAACGTATTTCGAATGATTTTATAACTTAATAAAGAAGTATCAATATAAGAGAGAAGTAGAAAATAGAGAGAGATTTTGCATTGATTTTGTTGTGATCCTTTTGTTGGTGTACATTTTACAATGAATTTGATGGTATATATAGAGAAGAAATATAGAGATGTTTAGTGATGGTGGTCTCCACATAAATGTTTTACACCATCCATTTATAAGTGGGAAGTGTTGGTGATTTTACACCATTGATTTCTTAGTGGAATGTTTGTTGAATTTGATTTTCATAACACTCCCCCTTGGAGACCAGCGTCACTATTGTCTCTTGCGTAATATTTCTTGTTGCCTCGTTAAAAACCTTTCCAGGAAAACCCAGTGGGAAAAACCTTGGTAGGATAAAAGAGTGCAACTTCGCAAGCTCCCCCTCAAATAATCAGGATCACGTCTTACAAGTGTTCATCACCATAGATGTATGACGTACTGCCTCGTTAAAAACCTTATCATGGAAAAACCCATTGGGATAAAAACCATGACAAGGGAAAAAGAGTACAGTAACACATACTCCCCCTGGAAAAGACTTCATAGGTCTCGTAGATGATGCATTCCAATACTTTGAACATGCTTTCTAAATGTAGAAGTTGGAAGCGCCTTTGTGAATAGATCTGCTGCATTGTCACTTGAACGAATGTACTGAACGTCGACTTCCTTATTCTTCTCGAGTTCTTGAGTGTAGGAGAAGAATCTTGGAGGAATATGTTTTGTTCTGTCGCTCTTGATATAGCCTTCTTTGATTTGAGCAACACATGCAGCATTATCTTCATATAGTCTTGTTGGCTCTTTTTTGATGACTAATCCACTTGCTTCTTGAATATGGTTAGTCATAGATCTAAGCCATACACATTCTCTACACGCTCATGAAGAGCAATGATCTCTGCGTGATTTGATAAGGTGGCTACTATCGTTTGCTTTTGAGAACGCCACGAGATTGTAGTTCCTCCAATGGTAAAAACATATCCAGTTTGTGATCTAGACTTATGAGGGTCCGATAGATATCCTGCATCTGCAAAACCAACTAGACCAAACTCGGAGTTTCTAGAATAATATAATCCCAAATCAATTGTACCTTGAAGATAGCGGAAGATGTGTTTTATCCCATTCCAATGCCTTCGAGTAGGGGATGAATTGTACCTTGCAAGCAAATTAGTAGCAAAAGCAATATCTGGTTTAATACAATTTGCAAGATACATAGAATGAGAAAATTCCATCATCATCATCTATCTCATTTCTAACCCATATTTTTCTATTTTGGGTATAGTTGATGGAAATCTCATAGTTTTCTTTATTATTTTCGTCTTCAGGACTTTTTCCGTCTTCAGGACTTTTCTCTGTATCCAACTCTTCATGAATCTTCTCATTTACTTCTCCCAATTTCTTTTTCTTCCGGGGATTTTTATCTTTTGAGCCCATTGGTCTCCCCCTTTTCAACTGAACTTTAGGTTCATTTATTTTTCCATCAGTTTGTTCTTCGGGAACATCAATTCTAGATGGAACATTCGCAGCGGGTATATAAGATTTTGTCACCCTTCTTGTATTAGTGAATGCATCTGGTAGTTGATTTGCCAAATTTTGTAAATGTACAATTTTCTGAACTTCCAGTTCACGTTGTTTCGTAGGGGGATCAAGGTGCAATAAAGAAGGTGTGCACCATGTAATATCTTTTGGAATTTCTTTAATTCCTCCCCCTAATGCTGGGAATTCTCCCTCATTAAAATGGCAATCAGCAAAACGTGCCGTAAACATATCACCAGTTTGCGGTTCAAGATACCGAATTATACTTGGTGATGTAAACCCGACATATATTCCCAATCTCCTTTGTGGTCCCATTTTTGTTCTTTGTGGTGGAGCTATAGGTACATAAACCGCACATCAAAAAACGCGGAGATGGGATATATCTGGCTTCTGGCCAGAACCTAATTGTAATGGGGAGTATTTATGATATGCACTTGGCCGTATTTGAATTAGTGCAGCAGCATGCAAGATTGCATGACCCCATACCGAAATTGGGAGCCTTGTTCTCATTATTAACGGTCTAGCAATAAGTTGTAGCCGTTTAATCAAGGACTCAGCCATGCCATTTTGTGTATGAACATGAGGGACCGGATGTTCAACATCAATTCCTAATGACATGCAATAATCATTGAAAACTTGTGAAGTAAACTCACCAGCATTATCAAGTCTTACTTTATTTATTGTATAATCAGGGAATTGTGCTCTCAACCTGATTATTTGGGTAATGAATTTCGCGAAAGCCAAATTTCGTGTGCTTAATAAACACACATGTGACCATCTACTGGATGCGCCAATTAATACCATAAAATATCGAAATGGCCCGCACTGTGGGTGAATAGGCCCACATATATCACCATGTATTCTTTCTAAGAATGCTGGAGATTCATTCCCAATTTTCGCTGGTGATGGCCGAGTTATTAACTTTCCTTGAGAACAAGCATTACATGAAAATTCTTTTGATTGAAAAATTTTCTGGTTTTTCAATGGATGGCCATTTGAATTTTCCACAATTTTACGCATCATGACTGAACCTGGATGCCCTAAACGTTCATGCCAGATTTTGAACGTATTTGTAAACTTCTGGTTTACAGTAATATATGATTCAATCATATTTATTTTTGTGGAGTATATTCCGGAGGATAAAGCTGCTAGCTTTTCTAATACACATTTCTTCTCCGTAATAATTGATGTAATGCAAAGATATTCAATGCCATTTTCATTTAGAGTTTCTATGTGATATCCATTTCTGCGGATATCTCTGAAACTTAACAAATTTCTAAATGATTTAGGAGAATATAATGCATTATTTATTTCAATTTTTGTTCCCCTCGGCATTGAAAAACTGGCTCTTCCGGAGCCCATAATAATTTTTGCATTACCAGATATAGTATTAACGCTTCCGGCGGAATTTTGTATTTTTAGGGAGGAGAAATACTTTTTATCTTTAAGGATTGTGTGCGTTGTAGCACTGTCTGCCAGACATATATCTCCATCCTTCATCTCAAATTTGGACATTTTCTGAATTTATAAATATTTATAAAAATATGTTAATATATCATAACAAACGATTTATATTACAATAAAACTATTTTACAATAGAGATATAATACAAAACACACAAAAACAAACATTAAGCTTTTATTTTCTTCTTCAGGAAGATAAACATAACTATCATGTCACACAAACTTCTTCGGGAAGTTTTATTCATTTTGTTTCTCGTTGATGGCTTCAGGATCAACTATGAAATCGGCAATGTCGAGATATGTATCATCGATTAAACCATCGAAAGAAGGCCCTGGTTCACCATAAACGAAGTTGGCTTCTTTTTCTTTTTGTGATTTTTGGTACAGATCGGCCAAATGTTTCGGCGTACGACAGGTACTGGACCAATGTCCTTTCATGCCGCATCTGTAACAAGCATTTTCATGTTGCTTAATCGCGCGACCATCTTCGTTCCTTTTGAATCTTTTATTGTTGTTTTTAGTGGAATCATTAGGACCGAATTTTCTTCCGTGTCCACGTCCACGCCCATATCCACCTCGTCCACGACCACGATCATTACTTCGAGCGCGTTTACGTCCGTAATTATTATAATTAGATGCTGCAACATTCACTTCCGGGAATGGAGCTGATCCAGTCGGACGAGATTGATGGTTCAACATCACAATTTCATTATTTTGTTATGCAACCAACAGAACTTGCATTAGTTCAGAATACTTCGTGTATCCTTTTGCTCGGTATTGTTGTTGCAGAAGTACATTTCCAGGATGGAATGTTTGGAGAGTTTTCTCAATCATATCATAATCACTTATATTTTCTCCACATAACATTATCCTGGAAGTAATTCCGAACAAAGCGGAATTATATTCGGCAACACTTTTGAAATCCTGAAAACGGAGGTTCAGCCACTCGTGTTTCGCTTTTGGTAAGATCACATATTTTTGGTGATCAAACCTATCTCCGAGTGCTTGCCAAAGATCTGCAGGATCTTCCTTTGTGATGTATTCATCTTTTAAACCATCATTGATATGGTGGGTTAAAAATATCATGGCATTTGCCTTATCCTCTTCAGGGGATGATTTTGATTTATCGATGGTGTCAAGGAGCCTTTTTCCTTTTAAATGCCTCTTTGCTGCAACGGCCCATCTCATATAATTATTCCCAGAGATATCAAGGGCAGTGATCTCGAGTTTTGCCAAATTTGACATGATAACTGTAAACATATAAAATAAATTTTTTAAACATAAATTTACTCGTTTTTCAATTGTAATTTAAATGGCATGATAATGTTATTTAATTAAATTGAACCATTTTAAATATGCAAACGATTACAAATGTCATTATTAAAAGTTTCATTTAATTAATTTAAAACATAGAAGGTACTTTCATAAGTGAAGCGATTACAAGAAACACAATTACATAGAAAAGTAAAATATAAACCATTAAAAACTCTTCAGGAGAAAATTCTCCAAAAATTAAACCATAAATAGCAACAAAAATAAAACCTATTACAAAAACTAAGAATGAATTAACCATTTTTTTTTCTTAGATTTTAGAGAGAGATATGATGAATGCGTGAAATGAAATGAATGAAAAATGATTGTATTTATAGATTGAAATTTATTGTTCATAACCGTTATAAATACTGTTCCTAGCCGTTTGAAAAGTGTAAAATTTTGAAAAATTTCTTCATGACCGTTGGTGAAAATATTAAACCAAAAATCAATCGTAAATATATATAATAAAATAGTTAAAAATTTAACAATTTAGATATCATAATGGAATTTATAAACATGAAATTAAAATATAATTATGAAATTAAAAGAACAATAATTATAATTTGTCTTCTGGACAAAATTTATTATATAGTTCTTCTGGAACGTTTTCATATGTCTTCTGGACATTTTTGTTTCATATATTTTATTTTGTATAGTTCTTCAGGAACTTTCAATAAATATCTTCAGGATATGTAATTATAAAATAATGATCTGAGGAGGCAGAGCCTACCATATGATCATGATCCGTTTCAGGAGGCATAGCCTTCCATAGGATCAAGGAGGAGGTATAACCTTCCATTCCTTAAATATTATAAATAAACAAATTTTAAATAAATTTAAACATAATTTAAAACATTACCTTCACTATACCTTAAATATTTAATCGTGTAGAGATTCGGATGTTTTTAGAAACGAGAGCTTACTCGTGCTTCACTATACCTTAAATATTTAATCGTGTAGAGATTCAGATGTTTTTAGAAACGAGAGCTTACTCGTGCTGATAACGTGTTGTGAAAACGTATTTCGAATGATTTTATAACTTAATAAAGAAGTATCAATATAAGAGAGAAGTAGAAAATAGAGAGAGATTTTGCATTGATTTTGTTGTGATCCTTTTGTTGGTGTACATTTTACAATGAATTTGATGGTATATATAGAGAAGAAATATAGAGATGTTTAGTGATGGTGGTCTCCACATAAATGTTTTACACCATCCATTTATAAGTGGGAAGTGTTGGTGATTTTACACCATTGATTTCTTAGTGGAATGTTTGTTGAATTTGATTTTCATAACACTTACAACATATTTTTTCAATTATTTTTATTAACTTACAGTAAATAACACTGTTTGTTATTTTAAACAAAAAAATATATAGAATTTTTCACACTATTACAACAATTAGAATACCAAGAAATACAGCTTTAATTTTTCACATTTCTGTAATACTTTATCTATATTAAATTTTGGTACAAAACCCACAAATAATACACATAGTTAACCCAATAAATATACCTTCCCCTAACTAAAAATTTAACAACCACCAAAAAACATATATTAACAATTTTTAAAAATTATAAATTATACATTATAAAATATATAATATGAAAACCAAACAAAACTGATACCTGCGGCATACCGCGGGTTGAATCCTAGTTGTTATTGCAAAATCTAAAACAAAATGTAGTTTCACAATCTCGTCTAAAATATGATTGCACAACTTGTTCAGAAAATGTGTTACATGCAAATTACCGGTCAAACTGTTGTCATATTTACAAATCTCCTATCTACTTTACCACACAAAATGTGTTTTTACATTGAATCATAGTCTATCATTGAAGTATGTTCTTTATCACCACCTACACAATGTCTCTATAAACATATTAAGCCAACTATATGTCTCTTTTTTTACGTCCAACTATTTGTCTCTTTTCAATCACTTTTGCATAGTTTCTTTAACCACTAAAATTATTGATTCACAAAATATTTCGAATGAAAACTATATAACATATCAATAATTGATGATGTATTTATAAGAAAAACTAAAATCTATATATATAATGGAGAGTTGTCTCTCTGATCTAGGGTGTCCATATCATCATCCAAGTCACCCTATTTTAATTTTGTGTAGGCTCCACATATTTTATTTATTTAAACAAAAAACATTAAAACTATAATTCATACATTTTATAATTTATATTATTATATTTCATTAAAAAACCACAATTTACAAAAAAATAAATTAAATATTAAAAAAATAAAAAAATAAATTTATAACACAAAATATGAATTTTTTTAATAGAGATTGGATAAATAGAAAATTAGATAATTATATCTTAACATATAATGAGTAGATATTCTTAAATGAATAGAGATATGAAAAAACAAACTTAACATATAATCATGGGAAATTGTTAAAAATACCCCTTTTGGTGTGCCCCTTTTCAAAAATGCCCCTTTTAAATGTCCATTTTCAAAAATGCCCCTTTTTAAATCTGAAATTTTTATAAAGTTTTATTAGGTTTATAAGGTACTTATGGATTGTAATTACTACTTGAAGACTCGATCCAAGTATTTATAAGGTTTTATAAGGTGTTTTTAAAGGTTTTACAAGTTATTTTAAAGGATTTTTAAGGTTTTTCAAAGGTTTTACAAGATATTTTAAAGGTTTTTAAAGGTATTTAAAATGCATTTATAAGGTATTTATAAAGTATTTATACTCCTGGTGGTGGTAAATCATGACTCAATCTTCGTGCAGTGCCTAGGATTTTTAAGCCTCCACTTAAGGGCCCCCTGATAAACTGGTGGTCTTGGGCGCCTGAGCAAGTACGCAAGTAAGCGATCCTTCCAACCAAACGAGAACCACTCTCCCACCACCATGTGGTTGGTAGTCGTCCCTTTGAGCATTTTAGTGATGAGTCATTTAGTTTGTGGTTGTGGCTTCGTGGAGACTGCGGAGAGGCTCCGGACTCCCGTCACGGTGGTTAGCTCCGGCGAATTTGTCTGTTAGATGGTTCCGTGTCATCGAATTTCAGATTCTCGTCTCGCCTCTTTGCTTGGTTTTGGTTTTGGTGTCCGATACTCACCGGAAATCTCTGATTGGGGAGTTGGGTAAGGCTGCGTGTGCTGTTTGGCTCGATTTCTTCTTCCTCGCCATGGTAGGGGCTGGTCTAGTTCTTTGTCGACGGATCAAGATTTGTGACTTTCTCTTTCTCGAGGCGCGGTATGGTGGTTAGGCGAGGCAACAAATTTGAGGTCGTCATGATATCACTCTGTGACAACAGAGACTTAAGGACTAATCTGCGTCATAGTGTGGCTGATCGTCTTTTGCTTTAGGTTCTTTGCGAGGTAATTGCGTTCTCAGTGGCGTAAGGTTTTAGTTATCGTCAAAATCTGTTGCCTTTTTGTAGCAGCTTTAGCGGAGTTGCTTGGCGAAGTAGTGGCTACCGGTGGTGGTCTTTCTTTCTTCTCCATTTGCATTTGTCTCCGGTAAATTCACAATTCGTTTGCTTTGCCTTTTTAAGGGTTTTGTTGGGATCTTTAGTTGTTTTCTACGTGACCTCCGCTCTTGCTTTGGATTGAGTTTAGTCTATCATCTCGTATTCCTTAAGTCGTGGAGGAGCTAGTAAGACTAATGGGCTTTTGGTGCTGTTTCGTATTGCAATATTTTTGCTCTGTGCTAGCCGACTACGGGGAATGTGCTTGGTAGAGTGAGCTAGTGCTAATAGCGTACATTGGTTTGTTTGGTTCCAATCTGAGATCGCTCATGGATTAGTTGAAGAGCCGCTCCCTCATGACGTAGAGGAGTCTGTGATCGAGGGCATTGAGACTTACGCCGTTGAAACCTCGGTCCATGGGCCTCCACTGAAAGGCTTCCGCTTCTTTGGGTTTTTGTTTTGCAGTCTTTTCAGTTTTCATAGCCATCTTTCGTCTTTTGTAGCTCACTTTGGAGGAACTTCAGAATCGTGTATCACTTTATCTGACACACCGTTTGATAAACGGCATACGTTGAGTCGATAGACTGATTGTTTTTGTTTCCATGTTTTTATCTTTTTTGCCATTCGACCAAGTCAATAAGTTTAAAATCCATGATTGTAAACCTAAACATTTTCATTTTTATAAATATTTACATTCTTAGCAAAAAAAAAATATTTATATAAGAAAAAAATTATAGATGATAATTAAAGATGATAATTGAAATTAAAATAAACAATTTAAAAATACCACAACTAAATTAAAATATTTGAAAAAAAAGAAACATATATTGATCTTACATACTCCTAACTTAAAAGGAAATTCAAAAAGTATTTTAAATCAGCACATATTTCCAATTAGAGAATGAAACTGAAATAAATAATGGAACTTTTTAAATTAAATTAGGGCACATGTTGCAATCTAAAATTATTAGCACGATGATATACGATTTATCTTTTATATATCAAAACTATAACAATTAAATTTTAAATATATAAATCATGATATATGTATCTATATATAATAGCAAACCCACTTTTAAGGATCTGCTGATATTATAGCATTTTTTTCTTAAAAACAATTAACGGTTTCGATTCAACTACTGTGCTGAGAAAATTCAATCTAATGGTTGAGGTTGGTTTATCTCTGAATCTAAACGTTGTGTTTGTTCCCATTAATTAATTCGCTAAACCAAAGAATGCTTCTTATCTTCGCGAGATCCAATCTTAGTTAAATCGCTTCGCTGTTGATCTTCGTCAATCCAAAGACATCAAGTACGGTGTTTCCCTCTCGGATCATTTAATTTCCCATCTTTGTTGTTCATTGATTTTATTTCCGTGCTGTTTGGTTTAACAATATATATAACTAAGGGTCTGCTAATATCAATATATATATATATATATATATATATATAATATTAGCAATATGATGCAGCATCCTTATCGTGTCACACAAGGTTAAACGTTTTCTATTTTCTTCTTGGTTGCTTTTCCTTTTCTCTGCAGTTTTTTTTTTTATTTCTCTGCAATTTTCTGTTTATCTTGGATTTTACTTTTATTTGATTTAGGTTTTCCTAATTACCTTAGGAACTAGAAGCTAAGCTTTCATATAAATAGTCCTCTAAATCTCTAATGCCTTGTAAAGAGGCAATTCTCAAACAAGCTTCGTCCGCTTCATCAAAACCTCTGTTTCTTCGGTGTCCTCTTCTTGTTGTCTCTAGTTTCCGCTCCATTATCACTCTCTTAGCAAGTAATCTCCGTCGAAATTATGAGCAGAGATTTATCCAGTAAGAAGCGTAAGATCTCTGCTCACACATGCGTTTTCTGGGACGTCGAGGATTTCCAGGTCCCTGATGGTCACGATCCTGATTGGGTTTATCAGAAAATCAAATCAGCTCTTGCGAAAAAGGGTTATCGTGGTATTGTGGAAATTAAGGCTTATGCATGGTGAGAAGAACAAGATTCGGGATGAGTTTCTACTTGCTGGAACCATTGTTGTACCCGAAGGAGATAAATGTGCGAGAGTTTATAGGATGATGAGCGACGTTCTTTTCTGGGCATTGGACAATCCTTCAGATTATCCTGTACTACTGCCAAATGTGATGGTTATCTCCAAAAACATCTCACAAGAGGAGGGTTTCCTCAGGGTTCTTCGAATTTTGCAATGTAGAGGTTACAACATTCTCTTAGCAGATTCTGATTATGATGTCGCATCACAAAATGAGCTTCACTTTGTAAGCTCATTATGGCTTTGGAAAAGCCTAGTAGATGGAGGAAAACCTATCGACCAAACCAGAAGCTCACAATCTGATGACAATAAGGAGTAAGTAGCGCAAGAACGAAAGTAGCTAGCTACACTTTTATTTTATTTAAATGATCCCTTGTTTTTTTTGTCTTTAACTCTCTGAAAGAGTCTTTGGGTTGTGTGTATAATAAAAACATTGACATTTCATCTTGTTCTCTGTATTGGGTTCAAATGCTCTGCTCGTCCTATTGAATTCTTCGAAAAAAAAAAAAATATTAGCAATATATATAAAAAATATATTCGCGATTAATTCGCTAAACCAAAGGATGCTTCTTATCTTCGCGATTTTTGGTTATTCACATCTCTTTGAGTCTTTATAAAATTATTTCTTGAAACCTGTTGATTTTTAATTTTGAAAAGATTCTTCGTTTCTGATTTCTCCTCCTATGAATTATGATTATCCCTGTTCTCACCGACTTCAGTTTTTATTTATTTTTGAAGATGTGAATGTTAGCATTTTTTTAGAAAATAAAAGAGGTAACCTACGAGGCTGATTGTTTAAAGCATATATAT